AAGTCATTGCTGGAAAATATGATTTTAATACGTGAAATTATATCTATAAATACAGCACTAAAAATAACAGTACACTATATACATGTATGATTGTGTCCAGAAATGTTTGAAACCCTTACGGAAAATTCTGTCTACATTTTGTCACGATTGCTCTTTCTTCCCGCATTATAGTGCTGTTTGAATGAATATATTAATTAATGTATTTCTAACTAAAATATATCACTTTTTTTATAAACCAAAAACATTTAGATCATAAAAAATTATTCAATACTTGAGTGAGCACGATATGCAAGGGTTACTAAGTTGACACAGTAAATGACCACTGATATTGTGTTAGTCCATGCACACAGCGTATTCTGCTAAGGCCATAAGAAGTAGATCCTCTGTTTTGCGTCCCCTTGCTTGCACGATTTTGAGTAAATCAGAAAAAAACATCCAAATAGCAATCACAAGGGTCTGAAAGTACCATCGCATTTCAGAATCAGATGAAATGGCGGATAATTTGATGTGCGTCAAAATTGACAGTGTTATAATTATTTGACATACATTGTGTTTTTTCTTATTTTTTACCCTTGAATAATAGCTATATTTTTATATATTGTATAAAATGTATAGATATGTGTTTGTAATCACTGCAAATTGGGATGTCATCCTTTTTATGCCCCTAAAATGTATATATTTCTCAGCAAACAAGTTTGTGTTTTTTTCTTGAGTTTGTGTTTGTTTTCCTTGTACCCTTGCATGATTTGGATTTTGCCAGGACGCAAAACAAAAAATCTACTTCTTATGGCCTAATATACATTTGTTAACACCCCCACTTTCATAGTGAAGTGACTAATTATCCCAACGAACGAAGTTCGGTAGGGATATAGTGAAGCCCTCCGTCCGTCAGTCAGTCCGTCCGTCAGTCCGTCCGTCCGTCCGTCTGTCCGTCCGGAAGATAACTCAAATATTAGTTGACGGATTTTCTTCATATTTAGTGGAAAGATGTATATTGGTGAATAGTTTTACGCAAAAAAAAATTTTTTCAAGATGGCCGCCGCTTTAAAAATGACGGGACTTTTTCGCAAAAATCATAAATTTTTCATTCTAAACCAAAGTAATTAATATTATTGTTTGAAATTTTAGTAGTATATTTGCAACATCTATCTATTTCACATATATTCCGTGTTTTTCATCCTGACCCCCAGGGGCCGTATATGGGGGGTCAGGAAAACAGAAATTTTCGCTTATTTTTAGATCTTTCTGAAGTATAGCTTTATTATACTCAAATTAAAGGCAATTAAGAGTAGATTGCAAATATTGTATCTTTTTTCTGATTCGAGCCTCGTAAAATTCAAAATGGCCGCCTAATGTATGATTTCGCAATAATTTTTCGATCCCTTCAAAGTATGGCTATATTATACTCAAATTGAAGGAATTTTGGAGTAGATCACAATTATGGTATTATTTTTCAGATTTGTACCTTAGAAAATTCAAAATGGCTGCTTTGCAGGAATTCGCAATTCTAAAATCTAAATTTTTCAATTTTAACCAAAGTAATGAGTATAATTGATTGGAATTCGGTAATTGATATTTTGTTCGTTGGGATTTGCTACTCCGCGGAGTTGCCGTTATCTAGTTGGTTTATGTTTACGTTTTAATGTGTTTTGGGTTCCTTGTTACAGCAAGGGGGGCCAGTAAAGTAGACTAACATGTTTGCATGGCAAATTTTGATCGAATATGTGAGACACTTTAAAGTGATTTAAATGTTTTCATGCAATCACTTTATTCGGTTTAGGACCCGAACACAATGAAAAAAACTAGAATTTAATTGATTTCTAAACCAAGGTAAAAGCTACATGTAAATGTGATGACCATCTTTCCAAAGTATTTGGATAATTACAAATCTGCAACCATAGGATAAATAAGATATTCTTTGATTTTCTCTGGCTATTATTTTTATCCACTCGTGGATCAAATGATATTCCTCAAAAATAATAGGATATCCTCTATATATCCAAATGTAATATTTATCATCCACTTGAGATACCCTATATTTGCAGATATTAAAGACAGGCATTGGAGAATGTCCACCAATTTAAACATTGGGTGACCATTTAGTAGACTTAAAGGCTCAAATCATAAAAACAGTGCACTATATTTAAGATCTAATGTAGTGTAATGTAACCATCTCAAAATTATAATGAAATCTGGTGCACGAATCAAGAAAAACAATACCATGCAGTTGTGATCAACTCAAAAAATCCTACAATTAGTTTTATATTACTCTGTCGTCTTGTTACTTTTTACATTAATAGATTTTGAACTCGAATATTTCTTTGCGCATACTGCAACAAGGCTCTTATTGGTCACAATTTCTTTTATTGTATCGCCATTTAATTGTTGCAACAATGAGCCATGTTTTTGTTTTTGTTGTTATTACCCAGCCCTTTCACTGAAAATGTCAATGCGCGGGATCACAGGGTAGTTCCAATATGTTGTGTTTTCTGGAGCTCCAAAATGCCATTATCTTCAATAAGTGGATATTCATTCACATGCATGAACAACTTGGAAAATATTTCTTCCGAATTCCAAATGAAAACACTTCGTTTGAAATTTAGTTATGCGTAATAATACGAATAAAAAATTACGGACTTTCTTTCGACCAGGTTTGTGGTTCGCGGAACTCCTTACGGATCTCTGTGCACGGGTCAAGAAATATGTTCGGAAACAAGGAAATGGTGGTGCGCGGTCAAAGATTTCACGTTCGCGGTGTAAGAATCGTGGTTCGAGTGCAAGGAACGTAGTTTCCCAACTGATGTTCGCGTTGTTGGAAGTCTAGGAGGCCTGATATTGAACAAACGGAGCAACCAGGTATCAGTATGAATTTATTACCAGTACTTAGTTTGCAAACATGCATGTCAACCATGGCCAATCAGAAGAGTGCACCCCTTCTATATGATAATATAATATAAACTCTTCCTACAGCTTGGTTTAGCTTTAGATCACTACAAGTTCCCCTCGCTAGTAGTTCAACAAGTTAAACCCAATACCACGGCTTTCATTTATAATCTGAGTGTTCTTGTTGCCGTGGTTGGGTTTAACTTCCGTGCTATGCTTTCATTGGTTGCAAATTCTCACAATCAGTTATTAATAAAACGCGCATGGAATTCCATGCGCTGCCATAGGCCATCATTAAAATTTTTTGCATGAAGGGCCGAATAGGCACGGATGTTAAACCTAGGGCGGGCCACAAGAAATGTCAGATAAGAAATAAGGCCCAGACTAGGTTTAATTTGTTGAACTACCTCGCTAGCTGAGTAATTGATTGTGTTCAATTCTGGAGATTGGTTGTTCTGTTTCAATATTTCAGCAATATATACCCATTTATCCTATGCCAAGTAGAGTTTTAGGGAGATAAGTTGGTAAGATATATCCAGTATCCTGATTTTGAGGTTTCCATATCCTGAACCTCCATATCTCCCGCCATATCTCCCGCTCCGGGACATATCTTCCCGCTTAGAAATTAGTTTGAAAAAATAGAAAAATTAGAAAAAAATTAGAAAACTGTGAAAAAAATTAAAAAATTAAAAAAAATTAAAAGAAAATTAGAAAACTCTACTTGGTATAGGATAAAGCAGTTATGTGCGGTCGATTTGGATATTGGGTTCATCCCTCGTGAGATATACACATCTACCTTCGGTCCCTACGGTCCCTCAGGTAAATATGCATATCTCCCTCTGGATAAACCCCATATCCAAAACCTCCCAGTACATAACCCTTATATATTATTCTCAAGATATATCCATGGTATGTGAGATATTATATGAGCAATAACAATGGGTCATCATTGATTGTGTGGGTGGGAAACCCATGGTATATTTGCTACCATATACTGCATGTTTAATTTTACAAAAGGCACAAAAAGATATATAATATTACCAGAATGTATATTTAACAATTTACTAAAAGTCCATTTTTAGGAATCAATCTTAACAAGCATTTCATTATATTATTGTACAAATATTTTGTATCAAGGGAAATTACATGAACATATCTGGTACTACGTATATGCATCAAAAACAGTACTGATATATACAGGGTGTCAAAAACACTCACCCTTATCACTGACATACAGTGAATTTAATGTAATATACAGGAAAATCTGAATATATGAACAGTTGAACACCTTGCCAATCCAAAAACCTTCCAATCTGAATACTATTTTTCATTCTATATATGTTTTGGACATAATTTTTATAGAATAGAATGTCACACAAAGTTATCTAAACAGATGTTTGACATTGACATTGTCATTGAATCACAATTGCACTGAGTATTTTAGCTCACATGGTGAGCTTTTGCAATCACTCACTTGTCCATCTGTCTGTCCGCCAGGCTGTGAATAGTGGCACATTTCAAAAAACTCATCTCAAAAGCTTGCTTATTTTCAAATGGCCACCATTTTATTCACAGAAAATTCACATTTGGACCATTTAATAGCTTCATAAATAATTTCAAGTGTCCTGCATAGTAAAAACCCATGTGATTGTAAATAGTAGTTATATAAAATAACTGTGGCATTATTGGTGACAAATGGACAAGTCAATGATACCTCAAATGTCAGTCAATAAAATAGCAGATGTTTGCTGATTTTGTTTAAGGTCAGGGTGCATGTTGGGAAATTTTCTGCATTCCTCAATTGAGTCATATGTTATTTTTCAAACAAGAATCACTCCTTCCCCACATGGCTTACATCTTCCAGATTTGAACAAATAGTGCACTTAAATGCTTAGAAAAGAAATCTTCTCACAAGTCTTTTCTAGGTACATACATGCACACTTTGTGCGAAACTGGAAGACGTAGATAATGTGGGGAAGGAGGGATTCTTGTTTGAAAAATAACATGTGACTGAATTGAGGAATGCAGAAAATTTCCCAACATGCACCCTGACCTTAAACAAAATCAGCAAACATCTGCTATTTTATTGTCTGACATTTGAGGTATCATTGACTTGTCCATTTGTCACCAATAATGCCACATTTAAACATCTCTGTTGATAGTTGATCCTGCATTGTAAAACCCATGCCACTGTAAATAGTAGAAATCAGCAACACCATGTGAGCCAAGTACCCATGGTACTATTTATTATTAAATTACGGTAGTAAATCTTTGGAATAAACTGTAGAACTGAATGTCTTCCTCTTAAAATTAATGGATTTTTGGCAGTACATGAGCCATTCTTATGCACCACTGTGGAGTTTGGATCACATTAATGTACCATTGTGGGTCACGACATGCACCACTGTGGTGCACAATACTGACAACTCTAATGCACCACTGTGGATCTATCTAATGTAGCAATTTGGAAGTTTTTTGTTTTTTAAACAGTCGCACTGACTCTGATGACCATAATGCCTTATAATGCTCCAGTGACTTGATCTTGCATACTCTCATCATTAGAATGATTTACATATACATGTGGTTTAGTCTTGATGCGGTCTCTAATTGACTCCACGGTGGATTGGACAATGGTCCTGGGTGTTAGATTCATATTCTTCAATGTTGTTAACAGTGCTTGGCACCCATACCTGAAATCACATCATAAATTATATTTTACAAGTATTAAGTTATTACAAACTGCTTATTGCATTGACAAGATTGACAAATCTGGTCCTAATCCTAAAACATAAGCTTATCATTTGTAATTTGATGTTTTCTTTATTCGTGATCTTTCAAATATGAGATCATACTTTTGCATCAACAAAATGTTCATTCATCACTAACCCACTCACAATATAATTCCTAAAACATTGAGAGCAACAATAAGCAACCATTCAACATGCAAGCAGACCATACATGCAAGCAGACCATACATGCAAGCAGTCCATACATGCAAGCAGACCATATATGCAAGCAGACCATATATGCAAGCAGACCATATATGCAAGCAGACCATACATGCAAGCAGATCATACATGCAAGCAGACCATACATGCAAGCAGACCATACATGCAAGCAGACCATACATGCAAGCAGACCATACATGCAAGCAGACCATACATGCAAGCAGACCATACATGCAAGCAGACCATACATGCAAGCAGACCATACATGCAAGCAGACCATACATGCAAGCAGACCATACATGCAAGCATACCATACATGCAAGCAGTCCATACATGCAAGCAGACCATACATGCAAGCAGACCATACATGCAAGCAGACCATACATGCAAGCAGGCCATACATGCAAGCATACCATACATGCAAGCATACCATACATGCAAGCAGACCATACATGCAAGCAGTCCATACATGCAAGCAGTCCATACATGCAAGCATACCATACATGCAAGCATACCATACATGCAAGCAGTCCATACATGCAAGCAGTCCATATATGCAAGCAGTCCATACATGCAAGCAGACCATACATGCAAGCAGTTCATACATGCAAGCAGACCATATATGCAAGCAGACCATATATGCAAGCAGACCATACATGCAAGCAGTCTATACATGCAAGCAGTCCATACATGCAAGCAGACCATACATGCAAGCAGTCCATACATGCAAGCAGTCCATACATGCAAGCAGACCATACATGTAAGCAGACCATATATGCAAGCAGACCATACATGCAAGCAGTCCATACATGCAAGCAGTCCATACATGCAAGCAGTCCATACATGCAAGCAGACCATACATGCAAGCAGTTCATACATGCAAGCAGACCATATATGCAAGCAGACCATATATGCAAGCAGACCATATATGCAAGCAGACCATACATGCAAGCATACCATACATGCAAGCATACCATACATGCAAGCATACCATACATGCAAGCAGACCATACATGCAAGCAGTCCATATATGCAAGCAGTCCATACATGCAAGCAGACCATATATGCAAGCAGACCATATATGCAAGCAGTCCATACATGCAAGCAGACCATACATGCAAGCAGTTCATACATGCAAGCAGACCATATATGCAAGCAGACCATATATGCAAGCAGACCATACATGCAAGCAGTCTATACATGCAAGCAGTCCATACATGCAAGCAGACCATACATGCAAGCAGTCCATACATGCAAGCAGTCCATACATGCAAGCAGACCATACATGCAAGCAGACCATACATGCAAGCAGACCATACATGTAAGCAGACCATATATGCAAGCAGACCATACATGCAAGCAGACCATACATGCAAGCAGACCATACATGCAAGCAGACCATACATACAAGCAGACCATACATGCAAGCAGTCCATACATACAAGCAGACCATACATGCAAGCAGACCATACATGCAAGCATACCATACATGCAAGCAGTCCATACATGCAAGCAGACCATTCATGCAAGCAGACCATACATACAAGCAGACCATACATACAAGCAGACCATACCTGCAAGCAGACCATACATGCAAGCAGTCCATACATACAAGCAGACCATACATGCAAGCAGACCATACATGCAAGCATACCATACATGCAAGCAGTCCATACATGCAAGCAGACCATACATGCAAGCAGACCATACATACAAGCAGACCATACATGCAAGCAGTCCATACATACAAGCAGTCCATACATACAAGCAGACCATACATGCAAGCAGACCATACATGCAAGCAGTCCATACATACAAGCAGACCATACATGCAAGCAGTCCATATATACAAGCAGACCATACATGCCATATCATGAAATGTACACCACAGATGAGATGAGTTAAGTCAGGCATAACTTACCTTGGCAAGAGACAGACAGGTATGACTAGTAGAATAGTGAACCAATGCAAGGGTGACGTGACACAGCGCATCATAACCCAGTAGGGATTGGATGGAGGGTTAGTGGTGACAGTCCCTATACTGAAGGTTATCAACGTCACATACATTGCTGCAATACTTGATAGATAAGCCCCAGTTGTAAAAACATTCTGGAAAACAAAACACAAGAAATGAGGTTGACATCCTTCAACATTCAAAGTTCAATAAGACTTCAACCAGAGTCTACATTTACTTTTCATTGCACCTCAGATTACACTATAACAATGAATGATTTAAGTGAATAACTGCATTGTTCAAATCTTTCACACTGTTAATGCTTGGATCAGGAGATCAATATTTCACCATCTTTCCAGCTCAGGTTGAACATAAGTCAATCCAGCAGAAATTATGTGTTAGTAGCAGAAATTATAATAGCTTATAACACAAGTTATACACACATGTTTTTCATGTTTTGTAGTGAAATAATTGCAATCAAATATTATGAATTAAATCTATCTATGTTCTCTTAAAATGATTCATCATCCTGCCTTATCACCAAATCAGCACAAATGATTCATTCATAAGCATGCACACATTCATTCATTATTAGACATCATTCTCAGTTTATATTAATTACCTCATAATCTTACTCAAAAGACTAGTCTCGGTTTGGAGAACAAAGTCCATTAGTCTACTACATGTTACACCTGCTTTGGACAATTTTGATATTTTTACAAATTGTAGATTTAAAAGTCCTCTTTTGAATATTCATAATCGAATATTTGGGTGATATTTCTATATTTTTCAAAAAATAAATTATTAGCCCAGTAGACTGTTCTCCAAACCGAGACTTGTCCTTTAGTAATACTCTCCAAAACAATTAGGAATGTGTCCATGTAATTCAATAATCCCCATAGACACTCATTATTCACATATCTTACATTTCCCCATATTCTCCACTGTGCAGCTTGTTAGTCCTTTTTGCATTTTTTAGCATTTATTTGTCTTTTTGGCTCATGTGGGTTTCTTAGGGAGTAGTTTTTATTGTTACACATTTTTGTTTATTTTTTCTAATTAGCTAAAAATAGAATAGTACATCTGATCAATACCATAGTGATTACTTTGGTTGCTTACCTTCATGTACCACTAACAATAACTATCTTACCAGTTGGGGGATAATTCATGGGTGGTAAATGGGGGAGGGATGGCGGGCGAGATTCACTCAGATAACAACCTTCTTTCTCCTTGTATCAAGAAATGAATGGAAAATGGCGTTCTTCTGCGCATGTGTGTTGACCTACATTCAACTCTACTTCCTAGTAACCGATTTGTTTACATCAAATTCTGACAATCGCAACAACAATTAACTACTCCCATAAAACACACATAGAACCAATAACTTTTCAATTAATTGACATTAAAATATCAAAAGTCAAATTAGAAATGGGATCACTCCCCAAAGTTAGCATTTTGAGTTGGTATTACCTTGAGAATAGTACAGGTAGTCCCAAAAGTTCCTGCACTCTTGTCTTTAGAATGGTGTACATGTGTACATGTTATTCTCTCAAGGTAACCCTGTTGTGCAACCAATGACACCAGTATGCGGGGCACATTAATCATATCTTTTTAGCTCATTAGTTTTAATCTTTAGCTGACATTCTATTCAACATCTAATCTCTAATTTAACATCTCATACATTTATAGTAGAAGCTCTATGGTTTATTGATAGCGACATTACATTTAAATTTTCAATTGCTTTATCCTTTCAAGACAAACGAAATCCATCGTGATGAATTATGTGATGTCACAAGCCTCTGGTCAATATCTCCAGCTTTCCTTGCTGGACATTGCCCCACTAAACCTTTGGGACACCCTGTATGCAAGAGCTCATATTTGAAAATGTACACATACATGTACATGTACTTAATCTAACATAAGCCATTTAGAAAGTTTAGAAATAGTTAGATATAGCTTATATTCCTGTAAACAACAAGTTTCTTGTTTATCCATCCTTACCCATGTGGTTGTCTGTAAACCAAGATTCAGGATGGGAACAATAACAGTTACTACGGTAACAGTAGTTCCAAACTCCCAGATTCCAACATCACTCCCAGCATATGCCTGTAACATTTATTATTATTTATTTACACATAGCTAGACAAGGTGTGTCAGATTCAAGCCAATCAGAACAGAGTATTCACATAATGAACAGTGTGTGAAATATCAATAACACATGCAAGGTTCCAGTTAAGCAGTTGTCATGGTGATGAATGGACTTATCACATTGGATTTGATGACTTGCCAACTTGACCCTTACAAAAAATGTCACTGATAATGTGTTCTTCTCGTGATTTTGTTCGTATTAGACGATTTTGGAGATAATATTTTGCAATGTGTGAAAAGAATTTAAGCCCAACACTCAATGCATTGTAGCTGCTTCATTCCACTCAAGCATGTTTCCTAAACATTGCATTCCCGCTGCGCGCGTGCGCGGTCATGCAAAGGTTTGGAAACAACATCTTTATGGTATTATTCAGCAAACAATGCACCGAGTCCAGGGCTTAAATCTTTAATTTACATAATACTTCCAGAGAAAATAAATCAATTTTCATTTTCAATTTTTCTGAATACAATACATGTATGTACGAGTATATATACATGTATACATTTTGCTTTTCTTTGTCTTTTACCTTACAGATCTTATATTTATAGAAACAATATTCCCAAATATTTAGTTATTAAATGAACTCTATAGCAGCAACAAAATTGTTGAAAAATCTTTTTCTGGTTTAAAACTTTTAAAAGCCAAGACTGAGGATTAAAAGTGTTATATACAATTTCTCATCTCATTAATTAATGAAAATGAGTCTTTAACAGATTTCAATGGCGATTTTATGCAAAATTTATAATTTACTTTATTTCATGCGTGATATCTAATATAAAGTAGCTACTCACAGCATACGGTATGAAGAACAAGAAAATACTGTGGTAGAAAGCCTCAGCAATGCTAAAGAAGAAGCCCTTGTCAAGACTGTACCCTGAACCTGGCACCTACAAATAAATACAAAATTCTCTCAACTAATTGGTTAATTCTGAATATCACTTTTGGCTCCCAAGAGGAGAAAGGCCACATCTTGACCTGAGAACTATTTCTCTTAAGTGGGTTGGAGAATATTTTAAGAATCATTTGGAATGTGCATTAAAGATACAAAATTGCAAATATATCATGCATGAATTATAATTCAACCATGACGAAGTAGTCTTAACAAATCAGATTGCTTATTTACTGTTCATTAATATACAACATTTTTGTGCATTGTTCAAATTTCAAATCAGCTGTTTCAATTATTTCCATTGTCTTGAACATGATGCCAGATGTGGATACAGTGAAAGAATCCAGAAAGAATCGTTGCATCATTTCTAGGTCAGGCTAAAGGACTCAATTCAGGTCAGTGTAAAATCAATCTCTATTATGTTCTCTGTTTTGATGTTTTCTGAAGAGGGCAAAATAGATACTTTACCCACCTTACACTTAATATCTCTTTTACCAGTAGGGTTTGAGAGAAGGTTTGCACACTTAAAGTTAATTTAATGTTCATAAGGTTGGCAAAGTTTCACCACTTTAGCAAGTATATGGTCATTTGACAATAAAATAATGAATTAGAAATCCATCATTAAATGTCCACTGTTCATAATTACACAACAATTAATGTTTAAGAGCCTCAAATAATATTCAATATGTGACATTCACTGAAACACCATTAGATTTAAAATGGTAGAATGATCAGCAACTTATTTTAATACTCTGAGACTCATATTTTTGATTTCAAACCCAGCATTATGTTTCTCTATATCATAGATAATTGTTGTTAAATATGTGTAATACATGCCACAAGCAATATTATGAGTCAAATTAAAAAAACGAATTATCACTTGATTTCAAACAGGTATCATATCAATTATTGCAACACATTTTGCCATGATACATTATATAAATAGCAGATATTTGCTAGAGAATTACAGTAGTCATAAACTTTGCATTCATAAACCAGTGTGAGTCAGAGAAGAATATTAAGACGGGAGAAGTAGCAGTAGACAAGAGAAGTAAGAAGACACAAGAAGTCAGCTCAGACGAAAGAAATCGAGGTGGACAAATAATACTCAGCAAGGTGCGATGTCAAGATACATGCTTGATCGATGTGGCCAGAAGAAATTCAAATTGTCTGTCATGGGAGGTGCTGGAGTGGGGAAAACATGCATCATTCAGAGGTTTATATCAGATAAATTCATTGAGGAACATGAGAGTACAGTTGAGGATATGTACCAGGCCAAATACACAAATCAGAGTGGTGCGGTAATGCTCATAGACATGTTAGACACGACAGGATCCTATTCCTTCCCTGTGATGAGACATCTAGCAATCCAAACCAGCGACGCATTTGTTCTCGTTTTTGATGTCAACAATAAAGCTTCTTTCGAAGAAGTAAGAATCCTCCATAAAGAAATAATCAAGCAGAGGTGTAGTAAAAACAAGACAAAAGTGAACCTTGTGGTTCCAATCATGATCGTAGCTAATAAAGTAGACTCTGATGCCACTGAACGTTGTATGCCTAAAGAAATTTCCCAAGCAATTGTTGAACTTGACTGGGATTGCAAATATGAAGAATGCTCTGCCAAGAACAATATAAACCTTCATAAAATGTTCCATAAAATTGTCCACCAAGGAATGAAGGTAAAGATGTTTAAATCTAAACATCTACCTCGCCAAAGTTCAGCACCATGTATCTCATACTTTCCAAGAAACTCCATTCAGGTGAATGAATTTCAAAATCTCACCCATGGAAGCAAAAAAAAACAGCTGTAACATACAATAACAATCATTTAACAACAGCATCAGATTCAATACACAACATTATTAGATTCTCTATTCTGCTATTGCGATGAGATTCTATAAATATATAAACATGGGGTGGGAACATCTCATTTTGGGCAAGGTGCAGAAGAATGGCAATTGGCCAAGAAACATCAAGTAAAGAAATATATATTTGAACTTATTTAAAAGCTGCTTAAAAATAAACCAACCCTTGCCCAAATCTATCGTTCTTCTGCACAAACTTTGTTGGAAGCCAGTTAGTTCCAATACAATATGAAGTAAGTGAAAATGGTGCAGACATTCAGAAAGATTCTAAATATCTGGTTAAACCAGTGCTTATTTCAAATTGCCCCTGCTTTGTTTTATTTTTAAAAACATCTAAAAATGCTACTTGGTAACTTTACAGACCAGATGAAAAAAAGCAGAAAATTGATCTGGCACTTCACCTTCGGGACTTCTATTCAAGTATTTTTAAAGATCCAAAGTGGAGATGCATAAATCTAATGAAAGTGTATAATGAAAGCATATACATGTATTCAAACTTTTCTGAATAGTTATTGGAATGTGAATGTAAAAAGTTATTAAAATAGAAATGATTGCACAATTTTGAATATCATAATAAGTGTATAAATAACTTGTATAAATTAGATGTAGCTGATAATGGGACTGAAAGAAATAGAGTTATTTCTGAGCATCAATGTGAGTAAAGGTTTAAAGTGAATAAAGAGTCAATGTGAGTTATTTAGTTCTAAAGTGAGTAAAGAGACATTGTGATTCAAGGTCTCAATTGAGAGATCTCCTAATAACTAACGTCACATTACTATACACTGATCCAACACATTATGGGCATTTGGGCTTGAACATGTGTAATATTAATATGATCTGACACTAACTACTGCATTGAATAACCTACCAGACTCTTGGCCCCATGCTTGTATAAGGCTGGTTGTGCCATGAGAATGTGGTCTGGCACTGTAGTGTTGAAGATACCATATATGATGGGAGGTAGGCCTGTGAAGATCAGGTTATAGATAAGCAGGTAGACTTGGTCCATCATAGTTGACCCTGTGAACCCATTGAAGAACTGGTACCAATATATGGTGAATATCAGCACCTATGTATGAAATATATAGTAAATATATAGTAAATATCAGCACCTATGTATGTAATATATAATAAAAATATCAGCACCTATGTATGTAATATATAGTAAATGTCAGCACCTATGTGTGAAATATACAATAAATATTCGCACCTATGTATGGAATACAACTAAAAATATATGTATGGAATACAGTATATAGAGATTATCCTATATGAGGGCAGATATATTGTATTTGCCTCAGGATAATCCCAATATCCTGAACCAACTATTTGTTTATCCCATACCAATCTTGGTCATTTGGTTCACATTGTTCAATAAGCCAAAGTTCAGAAAATTTCCAATCAACCTTGGAATTATTTTTGTTTTCCTGGCCGTGATCAGATTTTCCTGTTTTTTTAGTTTTCATCCACATTTATTTTCTTGAATCTTTGATTATTAACAGGGATACATATGCTCCTTCCCTTCTTTAAACTATCAAACAGATCGCGATTGTTTGCATTTTTCTCCATTGCTCAAATATTCCCATATTTATTTTCTCGAATTTTTGATTGATTAAGTGGATGCTCCTTCCACTTTTTAAACCATCAAACCGATCCCGATTGTCTGTGTTTTCTCCATTGTCGTTTACAGTCATAACAGTCATTGCACGAACGTTACAAATTATGAACAAATATGCAAGCAGCGATTATCTGCCCGCTCTGAGCGGGACGTTAAGCTATATCTGCCCGCTGATGAAAATATAAGATTTTACAAACCGGCTTTATGTACCTGTAACAAATCCAAGTGTGGGATAAAAGTTTTTACAAACCAGCTTTACAAAATGTATGCATGTGTAACACCTCCAAGTACGGGATAAATAGAAAAACAGTATATAAATATCAGTATCTTTGTATAGAATACAGTTTATGGTATGGCACCTATGTAAGAAATATACAATATATGTAATGTATTATGAAAATTAAATTGTTAATTTGCAATATGAAATGGAAACTCCATAAATTAGTGACTCCCCAAAACTTCCCAGTTTCCCTAGCCATTCCATATGATTCCTTTAAAGATTCAGGTTTAAAGGCCCCATGTTAAGTTTGAAAAAATATTTTGATCATTTATTTACCAGTTTTCATCTAAAAAGTCTATGTCTCAAATATTCAAATTTCCCGCCATTTTTCAAATAAAAGTTGAAATTTTTAAATCATCAAATATTCCATTATATAGTGCAAAACACATTATCCTTTTAACACTATTGCAAAGATTGAACAAAGGACACACTATTTCAATAATAAAAAGTTAATCAGTTTTAGAACTCCTTACAATGTAGCATATGTAAAAATTTGAAGTAAATCCGTTCAGTGGTTTTCCTGGAATCGTGATGACAAGATTTATCTAAAAAAACTTTCAAAATGGTCCCCAGAATGCAAGATGGCTGCTGAAAAGTTAATCAACTTCATACCATGTAACATGTGTGAAAATCTGAAGTAAATCCATGAAGTGGTTTCCCTGGAATCATGAGGAAAAGAAAAGTGAGACGCTGCCCACCCATGACAATATCGCACCTTTTTGTAGTAAGATTAAATAAAATGAAGGACCCACGGTCCTGTGCTCACACAGTTTGGAACCTTCAGAGGAATGTATATCCTGACTTTCAAACAAAAATATTGATTTGGATTTGTAGTCTCGAACTTTGAGAAACTTAGATAGCACAGTTGTGTGACCTAGTTTGATGACCTTTGACCTTGAAAATTTTACTTAGTCAGAGCTCAGTCAGTAAGGTCTTTTGTGATTAAGCTGACCAAAATTGACATCCAAAAAATCAATTTGAAAAATCAACTTTTTTGACCTTTCGAAGGTCACTGAAGGTCAACTAAAGGTCAAATCCTAAAACTAATGTCAGATTTGAACTCCTGGCAACTTGTAGATGGTTTTCAAAAAAGAATTTTGTCAAATTGAAGCAAGTTGAAAAATAACGTTTTTTGATGTTAAATATCTCAAAAACGGTAAAAATTTGATGCTGACATATATTGAGCAATATGTAGGGAATGCTTTAATCTAATAATGATGTAATTCATTGCAAGAAATGATCAAGTATAAGGCAAACTTTGAGAAACTTGTCAATTACAAAACCTGCCATTGACTTTATACATGAGAAAGTTTCCTGAAAGTCCTACTTTTTGTCAAATTTTATAGAGTAAACACCAAAAACTGTAATTCCAAGAGCTTTGAAATCTTCAGAGGACATAAGTTGCATATACAGCAACTACTAAAAGTTATTTGAAAGTTCTACTTCAACAAAGTGTCTAGTATTTACGGAAAATTTGAATTTTTGACGTCAAAATCCGCAATTTCTCGGAAACCGGGCGAACTTGGGAAATGGCGATGATAGGTCAAATAAGCATTATGGATATGCATAAAATGAATGTGGCTATGACTCAATCCGAATAGCAGTTTTAATTTGTGCGACCAATGTTGACGGACGGACGGACGGACCAACGGACGTCACTGATTGTTGCTGCATTGGTTTCTTCATTCATTTTCTTCTTTCGGACGGACCAACGGACGGACGCCTGGTCGATCTCACTGTGTGAGCCAAAAACAACTTACAGCATTCTTGTAAAACATGTGCAGAGCTGTTAGTGCAAGTCTGTCATAGGACCAATGGCCATGAACCAGAAGTAACCTCTCAATAAAACGAAACTGAGCAAGGGAGAAGTCTGATGCCATCACAGCTTGCATTCCTTCCTGCCCTGAGATACCTGCAAAAAGAGTTGCAGATTTGCATTGGTTGGCTGATTTCAGTCAAATCATGTGAGGCTAAAGTAATTAAGAACCCCATCACTTTATCCCATTGTCTTCCATTGGATCATTGGCTTTCAACTAGAAAGCCCATGATTGGATTTATGTCTACCTTTTCCCTACCTTGGTATGACTCCCACTGGCTTCCTTCTAGTCATTAATTTTACATATTTTAAAATTTGTAATCAAATTTCAAAATAATAATGATTTGAAACCAGTCCACTAGACATTGAGTTGCTAATGTCAGGAATTTGTATCATATTCGATTCCTTCAATGCTAGAGAACCAATGATATTATATAAATGAATTGTACCTATTCCAATGTCAGCAGTCTGTATCATATTCACATCATTGGCACCATCTCCTATAGCTAAGCAATGTTTCTTTTGCTTGAACCTCACTAATTTCACAATTTCTCCCTGGAAACAGAACTACATCATTGTTGGAAATATAAAAACATATAAGCCATGTAGAATGTCTTGACGAAATGTATCAAAGAAAATAACAGCAGGTATCGATATGGTGAAGTGAATTCAACAATGTTTTTTCTCTTAAACCAATTATTGAAAACATTCCGTAACAAAACACGGTCCTTTATGTAATGTTGACTGATTGACAACAATTTTATGCGGAAATTATTTATAGATATCTTATATAACTGTTTTTATTAACATTTTTTGTTTTTTAGTGCAATTGTCTTTTGTTCCTTCCTACCAATTCTTGAGAATGAAATAAAATGTCTTTCCGAAACTTGGTCTTAGACCTCTCAATATTAAACTTATACAAAGGAAATTTTGGTTGATTTAACAAAAAGTATTCAGAAAGTTAAAATAAAACCCCCAAAATAGATAAAAATTAAGATAAACCATTTATTTCATTAACAATTTGATGACTGGTTAAAGAGAAACATGTGTTCAAAAAAGTTAACCATATCAATACCAATCCTTATCTTAAATTTTATGTAGAATCAAGACTATTTTTCAAAAATGCCAATAAATTGTATGGGTTACTAAGCCTAATATAACATTAGATTGTTTGAGCTTAGAAAGTGTATCTGAAGACTGTGGTGTATGATCACATGACTAAGCAAGGATGAATGGTTTGTGTGATTTGCATGTTTTGGTAAGACTGTCAAATGGATGAACATTTTGATAGACATTTGGATGAGTGACATTGGCAATGGCTGCAACAATACATTTACATGTAACCCTGTATCTCATTTTGTGTAACGCTGGAAATAATAATAAATAAGAGCAGTGTCTCATAAAGATATGAAATTATTCATGTGGGGGTAATTCTAAAAATTGATCATTTCATGCAAATTTAGTACAAATCTTAAGTTCTAAACTGCTATAAAACAAATGATTCTGAACTCAGGTTCACAATATGCACGAACATACCTTTTGAGCAGGTGTGGTCCTACAACATATAATTGTTGAGCACCTTTGTGTTAGATCCAAAAATGACTTCTGAATTGATCCCTCAAGAGCATACTGCAATGTTTTACCATCTATCACCATAGCAACCTGATTTGTCCCATCTCCATGGTAAAATGAGGTGGAATCTTTGTTTGGTCCATGTTGACAACCATTGGAATGTGTATTTAAAGATTCAGTATTGTGTTTAATTGTTTTTGATTTATGCTTTCCAGTTGGGCAGCACCCTGTCTTAGATTGGTCAACAGACTCACTGACATTCAATTCTATATGGCTTCCATTTAATCCATTTATTCCATGACTCACAATTCCATTACTTGTAATTCCATTGCTCTTCCCATTAACGTTTCTTTCATCAACATTGTGTCTTTCATTTGTCAAGCGCAATGCTGACAATGGTGTTTCTCCATTCATACTACTGTTTCCAACTTCTTCAGTTGATGTCAAAAAACTAGGTCCATTCTGTGATGTATGAAGTCCCTCTTCAGGTGAAAATACAGGATTGATAATTCCATTTGAAAGCTGATCTGAGCTGATAGGATTGAATGATTGTCTTGACATGTTCCCTTTGGAGGAAGTCCTAATCCCCTGACTAGATGTTTGAGAGGTACTCGAATACTTCCCTGCAGTACTTGGACCACTGATAGCCTTCTCTGATCCTTTCTTTGCATTACTAGCTTCGTTGAGGTAAAATACACAATTATCAATTCCATTTTCTGTGTTGGTGTATTTGAACTGGTCCAGTGTCTGGTGTATGAGGTCACTAGCCTCATCCCTGTCAGCTGCATTCAGCACAAGGACAGAGTGATCAGGTGTGATCAATTTACATGAATGAGCCACATTGATAGCAGTCTCCTGCAACAACATAATAATAGCACAATGTCACACATAGGACAAGCAATCAAATCAAATTAGACAAGGCATAAACATGGCAAAATGTCACCACCTAGTTGCTCACAATATTATGAGTTCAATCTTAAGTCAGAAATTTGAATTTCTGACAACTTGTATATGATTTTGAAATGAAATTGGTCAATTTGAATCTAGTTGAAAAAATCTATAGTCAGATTTGAACTTTTCACAACTTGTACATAATTTTGAAAAAAAATTGGTCAATTAAAAGCAAGCTGCTTGAGAAGGTCAAATCTTAAATCTAAAGTCAGATTTGAATTTCTGATAACTTGTAGATGATTTTGAAAAAAATTGGGCAATTTGAAGCAAGTTGAAAAAATACCTTTTGAACTTTTTAACATTTTTGACCTTAAAAAGGTCATTGAAAGTCAAATCTTAAATATAGTCAGATTTGATATTCTGAAAACTTGTAGATGATTTGAAAAAAAATTGAAGTCAGTCTAAACAGTATTTGGTAAGTTATTGGAAGTTGTAGGAATTTGTTTCAGACCCCCCACCACCAACCACCGATCGTCAACTGCCGACCACCGTAAAACGGACACCATAACAATATGTCACAACTTTTTGGTGGTGACATAAAAAAATGACAAGCAACCTTCAATTGTCAATAAAATTTGACAAGCTACAAGTTTTTGTGAAAGAAGAGGGATGAAGCATAGGAAGTGAATCTTAAGTGTAATTAATTATGTTTTGGGACATGTTATTCAAATTATTGACAATAATTTCATTTATGGCAATGTGAGAGTCGGTTAAGGTTTAGGTATGAACAAGCCCTAAGAAGACCATTCCCCGGTTATCCCAGGTAAATGTTTCTGGTAAGTTACACTGAACGAAACATCAAGCTTCAGATCTCGAGAGTACGAGATGAGACTTTAGACGAGATATCGATAGGGTTGTAGTTGGAGGGTTTTCTCCCTAGGTGCGTACAAAATCCATTAACATCAATGTAAGTTATACATTTCGATTCTTTTTATCGACATTTATCTCTTGTATATACATTTATCTATCGCTGAATCGTTTTGTGAAAATTTTATCGTAATATTTCACACAAAAAACGTCAGTTTAAAAAAGTTCAAAAAAAAAATTTCAAACACGTTTTATCTTTTGTCTTTATGACTTTGTAGTTTTATGTTTGAAGTATTCAATTGATATCTCGTACATATGGTTTAAAACTTGAATTTATACAAAAGAATTAATTTATTGATGAATATGGACACGTCACATATTACTCGAGTCTCTACCTTACAGCTAGATGTAACTTCATTTATTTCGTATGTACTCGTATTTCGTATGTAAAATTTGCTACACGCACCTAGAAATCATTTTATATTAATTATATTTAGGATGAAGCGTTGCTTGTCTGGTTTTAGATATTTCAAAATTTCTTTTCGGAGTTTGACACATGGTTAAATTTTCTCGCTGTAGCTAAAAATGGCTTCCGGTTCCAGACGTCAATAATGTAGGAAACTTTGAAATTATTCTCGCTTAAAGAAATCAAATATAACATTAGATTCAGACGGAGATGTGTGCTGATGTTTCTCAAATCTATACATAAAGATATATTTCATATTATTATGCCGTATTTCCTGTGTGTGTGACACATTGATTTACAATATTTACAACACCAAGGCAGCTAATCTTTCTACTCAAAGCCGGAATATAGAGAAGGTTTGGACCTAAGTAAGTCACATACATGTCCTCAAGTTACGTTCACTAGACTCCATCCAATCTAATAATAGATATTTCATTTATTTACGAGTGTAAGTAACCTTGTAGGCTATTAAATAAATATATCTATTCTATTTGATTATCCCATTCCAGAGATTTCTGGTTGTTATTGGGATTATTCTTAGTACCATTAAGGTACAGATATCATTTTATTATTTGATATATATTTATCTCTTGAGAGAGCTATAATTATTCCTTTTCTTCTATATTTCTGACACCTTATTGCACATAATAAACTTTACTCTGAGGATAAGACAGGAGTCAATAATATCCTTACCTTTCTTCTCCCATTATACAAGACAATTAGAGATGCCTAATGTTATTAGGGTCAGCATTATAGGCCACAGTTTTGTTCGGAAAATAGAAGAATCTAACCATTTTGACTTTAAATTAAAGGAAGACATAGTTAACTATAATACCATCATTGTATATACAATTAAACAATTTCAGATGATGTAAAATATAAAAATCCCTATCCAGATATGGCTATATTACAGCTAGGAGAAAATGATCTGGTTCATAGATCATCTACCTTTGTTGCAAAAATCTCTTCACTTTGGCTGAACAATATTTAGTTATACATCCTTCATTAAAAGCCTTTTATATTGGAGAACTATTTCAACACTCATGGCATCCTTTCAAATCCTCGATCAATACTGCTTCAGAAGGCATTCGATATAATTCAATTTTTTATCTACCAATTTCAAATTGTTAAATGATATTCATCATCATAAGGGCAATAGACTTTTGTTCCTACATCACCCACATACCACCCAATATAGAATCAATGGTCAAATTTGATAGATGACTCCTACGATCCCATACATCTCAATGCAAAGGGGAAAAGCGTTTCGTCAAGTCCTGGAAAGGCGCAGTCCTGAGATTTCTTGATTACATTTATTAGGTAATAATAATTAGACTTAACATTAGAAGAGACGGCTACTCTTCTCTAACCAAACATAAGCCAGAGAGTCGTTAACTTTTCACAATAGTTTATTCACTTAGTTATCCTTCATAAGTACTATACTTATATTAGGAAATTTAGTTTCCTGTTTACTTATATTTTATCATATTTATATTATGATAAATATATATTATTTTGTATATCATCTGCATTTATTCATGCAGTGTATACTATACCTTTAGACATGATATGTTATCATATTTATATTATGATAAAATTCATATTATTTTATTTCATATTCATGCATTGTATGCTTTACCTTTATTCTTAAAGGTTATCATATTTATATTATGATAATTCATATTATTTTATATATCATATGCATTTATTCATGCATTGTATTTATTCTTAAAGGTTATCATATTTATATTATGATAATTCATTTTTTATATATCATATGCATTTATTTATGCAGTGTATTCTAAATCATATTTATTATGATTAGCCTTTTGGGCATCATATTTATATTATGATAATTCATAATCTTTATATATCATATGCATTTATTTATGCAGTGTATTCTAAATCATATTTATTATGATTAGCCTTATGGGCATCATATTTATATTATGATAATTCATAATCTTTATATATCATATGCATTTATTTATGCAGTGTATTCTAAATCATATTTATTATGATTAGCCTTATGGGCATCATATTTATATACTTCTAACATGGAGCATGTGCTTCTATTTATATTTATCTAAATGTTTTTATGTCTTGAAGTTGCTTACCCTCTATATAACTACTAATTATTTCACTGCAAATGTCTGAAACTGAAGGACCTAACCCAAGTATTACTATTGAAGAGTATCACACTTCTAATACCCTGACTGCAGCCAAGTCTATGCCCACTTTAATAAGGGGCAACTTTACAACAACTTTTCCCTTATCCCCTTTCCCTTCTTATTCCACTACATCTTCCATTCCAACCCAACATTTCATTCTCTCTAAATAGACCCACAGCATCTATTACTCGCCCTATTCCATCTTTTGCATCAAGCGCTAATATCCAACCCTACCCTTTTATCCCTCCAGTCTCTACTAACCTTTCAGCTTTTCATAATTCCCAACCCGTCTCTACAGCTTATGAATTAATTCCCAACACAAATGCCATGCTACAAGGACAGGTGTCAGTAGCTTCAATAAATCCAATTCCCAGTTTTCAACATATTACATTACATTAATTTGTCCATATTTCAGATTTTGCGGATTTACTTTAATTCATTTCTATGATATTCTTATATTTTGGTATTCATGTATTGATTCATGATTGTATTGAAGAAGACAAAAACAATGATTATGTCCTCTGTGAGATGTAATCTGACAATTCTTTTGAATCAAAACATTTGAATTTAAACCCTTCAAAGAAGGGAAAATCCTTTCATTTCCAGAATGGGTCCGAGCATTCAGTATATTTATTGCTGTCTATACCCAAAGATTTCATGATCAAACCCCTCACCTCTTGAAATATATATCCCCTTGTCCCTTTAACCACACCTGCCCAACTTGCAAAATGTTACTCCCGCAACAACGGCAGGCAAGCCCAATTCCCCAACAAAAAGCGCTCAGGTACTGGAGACTCCAAAAAACCCTTCGAGTGAACTTATGTCATCACAAGATGTTACTCCAGTTAAACCTGAAAGACTCAGATATTGGCTTGAAGGCTATGAACATCAAGAAGAAACAGTTCATGGTTTCTAGTACGGATTTAAATTTCCTCACTCTGATTTGCCAGAACATTACAACATTACTCATATAATTTGTTATCATATCTAAGAACCCAGAAGCTCTCAAAAAATTAAACAAAGAGCTTGAAGCTGGTAGAATACTTGGACCTTTTGACCAGCCACCATTTGATATTATTTCACCCTTATTTCTCGTTCCTAAAAATCTCCAGGTGAATTCTGTGTTATTCACAACTTATCACATCCCAGAGGCCAACCCATAATGATACTATCCCAGACGGGTTCTACAGTTAAATATGCAACCGTACAACAAGCCATAGATATTATAAAACATTTAGGAAAAGGTTGCTTCTTGTGTAAGACTATTAGAAGCTTGTTTGTTCATGGAAATGGCAAAACAATCATTGACACTTTATGTAACATCAACCCCTTTACCATTAAGCCAAAACCTAAGAAAGTCTCAAAGAGAACTTTTATCTGCTATAGGATTCCTTAGCTACTGTTGTTGTGTGATTCCTTTCGGTAGATCATTTATTTCATTATTTATTCATCTATCTAAAAATGAAGGAGCTACATTATAAAATCTTAATCAACACTCCATCTATGCAGTATTTATTAATGTGGAAATAGTTTCTAATTCCCTTTAATGGGAAATCTATTTTCCTTACAGAAGAACAAGAGACAAGAGAACAATTGCATCTTTTACCGATGCTTCTACTACGATAGGCTATGGAGCCGTTTGCAATTATCTTTGGTTTAAAGGGGAATGGCCATCAGAATGTAAAGAATTGGACATCAATATTCTTGAATTATATCCTATTGTTACTGCTATACTTACATAGGCAAAACTTATGTCTGGACACACAGTTGAAGCAGTAGTGAACATACCGAAATAAATTTTCTACCAGCAATCAAACGTCCATGCAACTCTTACTTCCTATATATTAAAATGTCTCTTAAACAATTTCATGTTCAAAGTGAACACATTGCTGGTATTCTTAATTCTGCTGCTGACGCTTTATCTAGAAACAATTTATGTTACTTTTTATCTTTTTAGAAGCACTTCAAGCTGCCCAAGCCCCGTCTACCAGAAAGTCATATGATTTATTAGTACAGTTCAACTCCCAGACAGGTATAGGTGAATTTCCTCTAACCCCAGCCTCTGCTAGCCTTTTTGCAGCACATCTTCGTTTAAAGAATTATCCCCCTAATTCATTCAAGTCAGTTCTGTCTGGTATATCATTTTTATCATATTTTCACAATTAACAATTTCAAGGATCCCAATACTTCTTATGTAGTCTCTCAAATAGTTTCTGGTTTTTGTAAACAAAATCCTAGCATAGACACTAGATTGCCAATCAACACAGCCTTGTTAGAACAAATGGTTTCTAAAACTTCTGAAGTAGATTTTGACCCTTTTGCTCAAGTCTTGTACAGAGCTATGTTATCTACAGCCTTTTTGGCTTACTAAGAAGTAGTGAGTTGACAAGTACTTCCGCAGGACACAACTTACAGTTAGAAAGTATTAATTTCTCTCCCGATGAAGCCTTTTTCATTATTACTTTTTCACATTTTAAACATAGCTCATCTCCTGCTACGATATCAATTAATTCTCAATTACCATCTTGTTGTCCAGTATTACATATGAAGTTGTACCTGAACATAAGGTCCTTTAAATGAGGTCCTCTTTTCATTTATAGAGATGCTCCAGTGAATACTTCTGTATTTAACAATTTTCTTCACAAACTCTTTGTTCAATGTCAGGTAGATCCTACCTTCTATAAATGCCACAGTTTGCGGATAGGCAGAGCTACTTGGGCCACAAATCTTGGACTTGATGACTATACTATCAAAAGATTGGGAGATGACATACATACATACATTAAAAATATATTAGGTAGACATTTATAAACTCAGACTGGTGTCGAGTATGCATTTTTCATTAAAGCCCCAAAGTTGCTCAGACAGGTGTCGATTATTCAATTTTCATGTAAACCCCAAAGTCGGCTCAAACAGGTGTCGAGCATGCAAATTTCTAGTAGCTACTGTTTTTTCTTCATGATGTACTAGAAATTTAATTGAGATAAACCCGCACTTTCTGAATTCAAAAATTTTCTTTCAATTCTAATTCCTTTATCTTACCTGAGATTGACAGCATATTACATTACTTTACATTAATTTGTCCATCCATATTTCAGAATTTGCGGATTTACTTTAGTTCCTTTCTATGATGTTCTTATAATTTGGTATTCATGTATTGATTTGTGTGTATCAATAAATGATTTAACTACTTTCTAATTAATCTTCTTTTCTTTTGGGCTCTCGCGAGAGATCGCGCATGGCCTTATTTTCGCCCAAGAAGATGAGTTGGAGATGGTATTATAATATATCCAATTGAGCTAATTAACAGTTATGTCAAATTGTAAACTCTTGTAGCTAATTAACTTAAATTAGCCATTATTTTCCAAGGTATTGTGTTTTGTGTTAATTGGCTCAATATTTATTTATATTAATTTTATATTAATAATTTTACATGTACGACTCTCACGGCCATATCTATACTCTACATGAACATAAATTCAAATTATTGACAATAATTTCATTTATGGCAATGTGAGAGTCGGTTAAGGTTTAGGTATGAACAAGCCCTAAGAAGACCATTCCCCGGTTATCCCAGGTAAATGTTTCTGGTAAGTTACACTGAACGAAACATCAAGCTTCAGATCTCGAGAGTACGAGATGAGACTTTAGACGAGATATCGATAGGGTTGTAGTTGGAGGGTTTTCTCCCTAGGTGCGTACAAAATCCATTAACATCAATGTAAGTTATACATTTCGATTCTTTTCCCTCACCTCCTTCCCCAGCTTACACCACCAGTTGGAGATTTATTTTCGCCCAAGAAGATGAGTTGGAGATGGTATTATAATATATCCAATTGAGCTAATTAACAGTTATGTCAAATTGTAAACTCTTGTAGCTAATTAACTTAAATTAGCCATTATTTTCCAAGGTATTGTGTTTTGTGTTAATTGGCTCAATATTTATTTATATTAATTTTATATTAATAATTTTACATGTACGACTCTCACGGCCATATCTATACTCTACATGAACATAAATCTCTATTATCATTTTATTTGTTTGTTTTTCAAATGGGTAGGCATTCAATTTACCTGTTTGTCTCCTGTTAGTACCCATATAGAGATGCCAGCATTCTGTAGGTTTCTGACAGTCTCCTCCACCCCTTCTTGTAGCTTATCTTCTATAGCAGTTGCACCTAAAGAAAAGTGAACCTTGTAAGAAGATACAAATATGACACTTACTATCTTTAAGAGCTTCATTGGCTTTTTGCTTTTCTTTTAGAATGTGCGATGCACATACATGTAGGTTAATGTTTAAAGTATTTGCTGTTGCTTAGGCTTTGTACAAATTTTTGCAGTAAGATATTCCAAATCATATGCTGGTTATTTGTTAAGCAAATAGATCACTCTGTGAAATATATTCCTATAAATCAATAGTTTTGTTAATACAGCCTGGGCTTCTCTTGAAAGCCCATGATACAGATAACTAATATGCTCTGGCCTTCTTGTCATGAGAAAACATCTGCAGAAACAAATGTTAGGTTGTTTAAAAGACAAACCAATCTCATGTTTGGATATTGTAAATTGCTTTGATTTGCTGCTATTTAATTTGGACTCAGCAGTTCTTCAGAAATAAATTTAGTTTATAATTGACATTTTATCCATGTTTCAGTCAAGATTTTCACAAAGGTTTTATAGTGCAAGGTAACACATGGAAAAGACACTGGTCGAAAAAACCCAAGGTTTTTATCAATCCACCAAATTAAAACAGCCATCAAATTAAAGCAATTTACAGTATTTGATTTCACCATAATGCTTCTATTTTACTTTTTTAATTTTTCCTTTTCACATACACTTACCTAGAAAATTAAGGCCCTGCTCAATTTCATTGTAGCATGCAAGAACTTTGTGCTCACGGTCTTCAAAACTATGGACAGCATCTTGGTACCTCTGGTGCCAACTTTTATATTGATTATATGGTATTATTTTCATTGCCATGCAAAGAGTTCTTAGTCCTAAATTAGCATAGTCATGGATATGCTCCTCACTCCTTGAGATCATTAATCTGTGGTTAGTTTCTAAATTTCCATTTTCTGAAGTGTTATCCTTTGATGATTCTGAGATCTTAAGTTCAGTCAATTGAGCAGTTTCTAGATCCTCCTTTGGTGGCTGTGCTAACCTATGCATTATTATGGAGTCAGCACCTTTACAGTAAAGAATGATGTCCCCTGAGATAGGATGTTTGAATATGACTGACATGCATTTCCGCACTGAGTCAAATGGCAAAACATCAAGGATTTCAAGTTGACAGTCATCCCCATCTAGAAATAAAACATGAAACATGATGAACATGAAGAAATGAAGAAATGAACAAGCATACACTGTACATGTGCATCAGTTATGCAGGATGCACTGATTACAAGACCAGGTGTAATGTTTTTGAAATAATCAGCTGGTTTGTAGTAGAATTCCCTACATACATTGTATTGCATTTTATGGGTATTCAAATCTGGATTTAAAATGACATTTTTAATAAGAGACTAACTGATTCTATGCACAAGTATTTTACTCACTAGGGAATGCAACATGCACCATATCAATACTCCTTTTAAGAAGACTGACACCATACTGACTAGCGACCTGCACCAATGCCAACTCATCCGGACTTTCGGATTCATACAGTAACTTATCCACCTCAACACTCGAAGAGTTCCCTGACTCAGAAGCACATTCTGTGTCATGTTGTTGTGTATTTCTACTGGGCCTGTTATCACCTAGCGACATAGGATCCACTGTCTCGTAACACTGACTACTGGCATGGGGCGTGTCATGGATTTGTTTACGCTTTAGCTTTGGAGAGTTTATGAATTTAGAGAAACGTAGTAATTGTGGTTGACTTTGGTCATTTGTTGTATTGTGCTCCTTCGTTGTACTGTTCTTCATAGTGTTTTCAATGAGAGAATCTTTATGTAGAGATGTTGCATCATCAACAATCAACCCACTTGCATTCATCTGCAGAAGAAAATTAATAATCAATAATAATAAAATTAATAATTTGATGTTAATTCTCTTAGAAGCCCATGATTATTACATTATCAGTTAAGGAAAGTGTCTTTTTAACTTTTCTTTTCTCCAACAAAATCAATTGTGTATGACTGCATGTGTATATCTATAATAGACTTAAATAATACTTGAACATGAAATCAGACACACCAGACAAAGAAAAAATACTACAGGTATCCAGCAATTGATGTAAAAAACCTCAAATGACCAAAAAGAAATTTCAAATAAAGTAAAGAAAATAATATGGCAAACCATGGGCTTTCTTGAAAGCCCATGGGCAAACCGAATATTTGGTACTCCAAGTTACAGAGGTCAGAAAAATTCTAACCAACTTATTTAATATTCTGGAGTTCTAGCATCTTCATAATCACATGCATGAAAATTCAAGTTATCCAATAGAGTATTTTCCATCGCTTTGAAATCTCGTTAAAGTCTTGTTTCTACCTTGACTTGACTACCTGGAGTGATGAGATTTCTTGTCAACTCAGAAATGACCTTAAAACCCCAGAGTGACGAGAAAATCTGTCACAAAATTATTTGCTATAGTTGCTCTTATTTGAACAATTTTCATCCAGTTTACAAAAAAATTGATTTAAAATGTGTAGAAATGAGCTCTGTTGTCTAATTTTACGAAGTTGAGCATATAAAGTTGTATAGGTATGTCAAAAATGAAGAATTCTCTGGTTTCCACTGATTCTAGAGCCTTGGATTCACAAGGTTAATGAGATTTTAGGAGATCTGCATTTTTAACCATTTAAAAACAAACATTTTCTTCCATTTGATGGCATATTTGAATTCTGTGTGTAATTTTCTATCAAAACAACTTTGATTTTTACAGTTATTTACCTTTATTAAAATTTTAAAGATTTTCTGAAAAAGGTTGGGCTAAATGCCCATTGACACAATGGTGAAAAACCTTTAAAAATTCATTTATTCATAAATGGATCTACTAAATGGAATTATAGCTTCTTAAATCAAGAAATTAAGTGACTATTGCTATGTTATCTTGGACTACCAACATCCATGATGCCATCTATTTTTCCATTTATATGAAAAAGGGTCAATTCAAAATGTTTAAACAGACAAGACATGCCATGCATAGCTAGTGAATCTGCAGATACTTATCAGAAATATGACATCATAGTACATGCACAAAATTCAGTTGATCAAAGAGTTGTCTCTTTTCTTGGTTTGAACTCTTGCACCATTTTGGCTCAAGCTTTTTGTACCGTTCCTGATCAAAATTTTGAATGATTTGAATTTGAATTTAAAATTGAAAAACAGAAGCATTGTTTGGATTTTTGGGCTTCAAACCTTTTGAATATTTTTCAGTGTTCAATATACAGTGGACAGCTGCAAATATATGTGAAGAACAAGATATCTAGGTGTAAAAAGTAAAATAAAATAAATTCTGAGACCTGATGTAGGCTCCTACTTCAATTTAAAACTTTAATTTTGTAACCATACTGTGCACCAAATTCAACAAGAGTCCCCCATTAGTGACAAGGTTATTCCTAACCAAGAGGGTTGCATTTTTTTAAAATTCAGGGACCAACAGATCCTTCCTTTAGTATAAACGCATTATTTTGTAATCATACAATATGCCATTGGGAGAATTCATTCTGACCTTTCAGGGACCAACAGATCCTCCCTTTAGTATACACACATTATTTTGTAATCATACAATATGCCATTGGGAGAATTCATTCTGACCTTTCAGGGACCAACAGATCCTCCCTTTAGTATACACACATTATTTTGTAATCATACAATATGCCATTGGGAGAATTCATTCTGACCTTTCAGGGACCAACAGATCCTCCCTTTAGTATACACACATTATTTTGTAATCATACAATATGCCATTGGGAGAATTCATTCTGACCTTTCAGGGACTAACAGATCCTCCCTTTAGTATACACACATTATTTTGTAATCATACAAAATGCCATTAGGAGAATTCATTCTGACCTTTCAGGGACCAACAGATCCTCCCTTTAGTATACACACATTATTTTGTAATCATACAATATGCCATTGGGAGAATTCATTCTGACCTTTCAGGGACTAACAGATCCTCCCTTTAGTATACACACATTATTTTGTAATCATACAATATGCCATTGGGAGAATTCATTCTGACCTTTCAGGGACTAACAGATCCTCCCTTTAGTATACACACATTATTTTGTAATCATACAATATGCCATTGGGAGAATTCATTCTGACCTTTCAGGGACTAACAGATCCTCCCTTTAGTATACACACATTATTTTGTAATCATACAAAATGCCATTAGGAGAATTTATTCAGACCTACCTTATCATAATGTGGATGACTAGAAACAACCACAGTATTACATATCGCTAAAAGAAACGCAAAATGGTGTATCTTGTATAGCTCAGGGCATGTATGGTCTTGTGACTCCAAACTCTCTAGTGAAAGATTTGTGATGTGGTCCATTAGGTCTTCATTTACATCATGTTTGCTGGAACGCTTGAAAGAGGCACTACTTTCTGAAGCACTAACAGTGCTATTGGCTCTGGATGATTCCCCGCTCAGAGGCGTAATACCAATTTCTGCAGGTGGAGCCTCATAGCTAACTCCACCTATCGAGCATTTCTTGAACTCCATCTTGTTTTCAGTGAGAGTGCCTGTCTTGTCTGAGAGTATCACCTCAACCTGAAAACATGAATCAATCAACCATTCAATCATGTATGTTGTCTCTTAAAATAAATCATCTTAATCACATACATGCATAATACTGAAAATCACCAATTTTCAAACAACATTTTTATTTTCAAAGAAATAAACTTTCAAATGGGTAACTGTCAAGTTTTAGTTATGTTTAGCTGTTCTACACCTTGTAATATGATTAAAGCGCTTCAAGTACCTGTCCTGGATTTTCAACTGTGTTTAATCATGGACCATGGTCTAATACCCTGCCCATCCCGACCTTAAGTTATGTGTAATTCCCTACCTGTCCCAGACCTTAAGTTATGTGCAATTTCCTACCTGTCCCAGACCTTTAGTTAAGTGCAATTCCCTACCTGTCCCAGACCTTTACTTATGTGTAATGCCCTACCTGTCCCAGACCTTTAGTTATGCATAATTCCCTACCTGTCCGAGATCTTCAGTTATGTTTAAAGCTCTGGGCTCCAAACGTTTGTTGGTCTCAGCATGATAGAGATGAATATCTTCATAGAGAAAGAAGATCTGGCCCAACTTCACCAATTCAAGGGATACATAGAGACTGAGGGGGATCAGTACCTAGACAAAATATAGATTTTTTAAAATTAATCCCTTAGTAGTGCAGGTGGCTCAAGAGAAGTGTGCAATTTAGGCTATAAGCTTATTTTTTTAGCATACTCATATTTTAGATGTAAAGATGGCAGATGGCTTGCAATTGCATTTTACCAGTAGGTTTGAAATCTTTGTGATGCACTGAATTGCAAAACTTTATGTTGATAGACAAACTCCCAATCATTGGAAAGCTGCTTATAATCAATTTTTGAAATGTCACTTTGAGCAGGAAATCATTTACAGAAAATTGCTCTTTGTTGAATCTTAAGTCAAAAATTGTTTGTTTTCATGATAACTGTTTAATTTTAGTAATAAGAAGAAGAAAATACATTTTGGATATATTTTCCTTGTTTTCATCCTTTATATAACTTTCATTGAGATTTCATATCAGAAACCTAAAAACTGGTAATGCAACCTGTAGAATGATGATGTAGGTCCAGAAGACAATGAAGCCTTGGGCCTGGGGAGAAGGACCACTAGGAATAAACAGCACCCTGCCCTGCTCTCTGATAGTCTGGGGGAAGTGACCCTGCCATACACTGCTTCCTGGAATAGTTCATGAACCTTTAACACCTTGCAACCCTTCAGTGCCACATAACTAGGACTTCTCCACATTTACTGCATTTGTTTTGTGCCCGCTGCTTTAATATGGCATATTTGGCAGAAAAAGTTGCAAAAATTCCAAAGCATAAAAGATATTATTGGTGTATGACAGAAATACTAAAATTTGAAAACAGACTGACTGACGCACATTTGTGTCCATTGAGTCAGTAATGGTTGTCAAAAAGAAAGATCTTAGTTTTGTGTTCATTATTTCAGTAATACTAAAATTCACCAAATTAAATTGAAGGCAATATTGCAAAGAATTTAATAGTACAAAATTAATGAGAACTACCTTAACCGGGATTGAGGGTGGTCATTGAGGGGTAATTTCAATAATTTCACCATATCTGTACAATATTTGTGAGAGAAATATTAAAAATATTCAGCATTGCATGTAACCTGTTATCTGTTATCAAAGTTTTATCTCAAAAAACACTTTTGATTAAACATTAATTTTTGGTTATCAAACTTTTATACTGGTACAGTAGAATACAAACTCCATTATTATTAATACATGTAGTCATAAAAGATCAAAAACTTTCAGAGTGTCTATTTACATGTCAACCAAAGAATGATTTGGGAGATCAGTAATATGCTGGGTTATGACAGTACACAGTACAGTTATGACAGAATCGACTGCTAAAATATATGGTTTACATGTATGATTATGACTGATAATTATGATTAAAGCCATTTCATGAATAAATGACAGTGCAAGGAGATTTTTTAATATGTCTAGCAATAGTTTATGTTTTGCACCATTATGTAAGGCATGTTAACCTTAGTGATGGTATTAGTATTGATTCAGTTCTGTAGCAATACCGCTTGGAACAAGATGTGGTGGCTTTAACAAGCATATATATTATCTTCTTCAATGCATATATAACATCTGACACTCTACTGCAGGGGAAAGAGCAAGATATTGATAGACATTGATTGATAGATATTGATTGATATCAAAACTTCAACTGATGAATATTGAACAAATATTTCACTCTATTGAGGTGAATACCTGTACATCTTTCACAAGTGATATTCCACGAAGCCCGAAGGGCAAGTGGAATATCACCTTGTGAAAGTGCTACAGGTATTCACTGAAAATAGAGTGAAATATTTGTTTTATTATATCACTGTCTAGCTAAACATCCCTAATATTATTAAGTCATAGGTTAACATTGAAATACATACGAATCTACTCGGTTCGTCTGCCATTTTGACTTACACTGAACTAAATTATTTACACTGAACGAAAACAAATTCTTTGAAAATTCCCGGGAGCGTGGGATATCGCTAGATATCTCACGGTTGTCTTATCTGATTAGCATTGCCATTGAATATAGCCAGATATCCCACGACATGTGACCCGGTTTTGACCAATCATACTGTCGCTAGCTAGATAGCGATATAATAATAATAGATGTACATGTATCTACATGGTAATTGACCTTTGTGGGCTACAGTTTATTAAACTTTATTCAGCAATTGATATCTATGGGTTACTACTGGAATCTATGAAAATGGGTACTTCTCCCCTTTGTTATTAATGAGAGTCCTACCTATGGCTCCCCCTATACACAACAATGCCAGCAGGATTACACACCAGATGACAGATCGATTCATGAACCTCTCCAGCTTGCTGCATTTGTAGCGAGGCCCTGTGTTGTTTAACATTGCCTTTGTGTCATGGCCTGCAAGATCAAGTTAAGATATCAATAAATGAATTGGGAAAACATTAGCAAAAAGACAAAAATAGAACAGCATGCAAATATGTATTCAAAGGCTACTTTACCTAGTTTAGTAAAACCCATTTAATTTGAATGGGTCCTAGTGTTTGGAAGTATGTAGATTAGGAGGTGTTCACACATTTGTGGGATTTAGAAAGAAGAAATGTGAATAGATTTTTAGTTTAATGTCAAAAGGCTTTATGGCACACTAAATATTGGAAATCAAGGAAAGAAAAACAGATTAAAAATTGGGAGTTGTTTTGACTAGAGGGGTGTTTGAATATACAGGTTTTACTGTACATTTAGATCAACAGATCACAGGTCCTACATACAGTAGTACAGAAATACCATGTACATATTTCTAAGATTTGTGTAAATAGCAATAAGCACTGTGTATGGCAACTTCATATTTAATACTAAAATCTACCTGCATATAAAACTAAGCCCTCCACAAAATCTGTGTTGCGAAGTGTACATCCCCTAATAAGGATGTTATCTTTAGTTAAAGGTATTTTTTCAGCCCCATCCGGAACACTGGAAACAAAAATTAGGGTTTAGTCTGAAGACAGATTATCAGTTGTGTCCATTCAACCTTCATAAGAATCTAATGGGTATTCCCCAGAGAGTGATTTTTTAAGATAATTTATCAGTGCGTGTTCTTTGAAGGGTGTTCATTTCTAGTGAGCACTCACCAGAAAAAGTTTGGTGATCTTTCACATCCAATATCATACACATCAGAATAGAGTAACTTTAGCAGACAAAATAATATGCGCAAAAAGTGCTGATGGAGACTACACAACTTTAGTCTAATAAAGGGCCCTAAAATTTCATTAAGCCATGTTTTCTTGTGGCCTTGCACCATACTGTGCTTGTATTGTATGAGGTATCCCTTTTAAAGCATATTAGTAATTCTTACATTGAGCCATGGAACTTGTAGATTTCAGCATTTGGTAATTCACATTGTACCCTGTGAGTGAACTGTACAGGACCTACTCTCTCAACCTACAACATATAGAAACAAATGTAGAAATGTAGGAGACCTGCCCTTTCAACCTACAACATATAGAGCCCAAATGTAGAAATGTAGGAGACCTGCCCTTTCAACCTACAACATATAGAATCCTAATATAGAAATGTAGGAGACCTGCCCTTTCAACCTACAACATATAGAACCCAAATGTAGAAATGTAAGAGACCTGCCCTTTCAACCTACAACATATAGAATCCTAATATAGAAATGTAGGAGACCTGCCCTTTCAACCTACAACATATAGAATCCAAATATAGAAATATAAGAGACCTTCCCTTTCAACCTACAACATTTTGAATATTCAACCAAGAACCACTCCCACCCTTATAAATACATGTATGTTGTTTTTGATCTCAAATGTAATGCTTATTTTCTATTGTATATCTTTCTACTACATATGATACAAAAATCAGTCTCATTGTATTTGAAAATCAGTCTCATTGTACTTGAGTTACAGACCAGGGTGGTAACCAGCAAATGTCAAGTTGCGCGATTTATTTGCAAGCGAAGTGAGCCCCAAAAAATGGGGTACAGGGTTCACCCCTGGAATTTAAAAATTTACATTGTAATGGTGCATTCTAAGTATTTCAAACTATAAATTGTTATTTGCGATTGCATCCCCCTAGCTACCCCGCCCATGCAGACAGATGAATGAGTGGTCGAACTGACTGACTGATAGAATGACAGACAAATGAAGAGCTTCTCTTTCTCCCTAACAATAAATGAGATTTGGAAATCATTATCAAAGATGCCATACCATTCTTCCCATATTATATCATACATATTACAAAGCCACACTGCATGAAGGATTGATTAATTATGTGCAATAAGCAAACTGGTAAATGGCTCAGCAAATAGTTAATTCATTAGGCTTTAATAACATATTACATTAGTAATATAGTACACTGTACAATATTTCCAGTTGTTGATGATTTCCCCGAACTTGAACAGTTTTCTGTTTATTTCATATCTACTATCAGCTGACCTACTAAATATTGTGATTAATTATTATTTGTTTTATAATTTTCACAATTAATAAATTAAAGAGTGCTCATATCTGAATGTGCTTTATCATTGCCAACTGTGGATAAAATATTACCATAATTCAATATTTGATATTACATGAACATGAAGTTCAAGAGACTCATTGTGATACTAAAGGATTGGTATCGATATGGTGAATTGAATTCAACAATGTTTTTCTCTTAAAGGGGCAACAAGGACTGTAGAGAGAAAATCTGAAATTTTTTATTTTTTCTGAGCTATCAAGTCAATGTTTGGCTTAACACCTTCTTTGGCATACCTATTTTCTTAAAATGTATGGATAAACTATCAATTTCAGCATTAAGAAGTGTTAATTCAGTTCAAAGCTTCTATAAAGGGAGTCCCACTTATAGATTTTTAAGATTCACCACGTTTCAAGAGGAATATCAGCTAAAATATTGTTCATCCAGGGGGCTTCTTTGTAGATAATAAAAATATATGTTAGTCTTGATGAAATATCCTAACTTAAATATATTTTGACACTGGTCGATGATCGTTGAATGCCCCCCCCCCCTGCACTAATTGTTGCACTTTTAAACCAATTATTGAAAACATTCTGTAAAAAAACATGGTAAGTTGTGTAATGTTGACTGATTGGCAACAATTTAATGCAAAAATAATTTTAAAATATTTTATGTAACTGTTTTTGTTAACATCTTTTGTTTTTAGTGCAATTGTTTTTTGTTCCTTTTTACCAATTCTTGAGAATAAGATAAAATATCTTTCCGAAATTTGTTGGAACAAAATAGCATATACAACATTTTCTTAGACCTCTCAATATTATAGTTATACAAAGGAAATTTTGGCTGATTTTACAAAAAGTATTCAAATAATTAAAAAAAAAAAAAATAGATAAAAATCAAGATAAACCTTTTATTTCATTTACAAGATACTTTTTTTAAATCTTCCAAACTTTCCTTTGTACAATTACAATATTGAAAGACCTAAACACTTTGTGTTCATGGCATTTTGTTCCAATGAGGTTCGGATAGAATGATGTTTCATTTCATTCCGAACATATGATACCAAGAACATTTAAGAAGTATATGATGTGTTTTCTAAAACAATATAGAGAAAAGTATATATATTTATTTCAAATTATATCATCACCATTCAAATGATGACCATTAAATTGACAATGTGTAACATTTTCAGAATTTTTAGATGACTGGTTTGAGAGAAATATGTGTTCAAAAAGTTCACCATATCGATAATCATCCTTTCTCATTTAGAACCACAATACTTGTATATAACATATTGTATTTAAAAATGTTTATGAAATAAAGTCAGTATAGTTGGAAAATGACATGAAAACTGTGAGCTTAAAATATAGTAAATTGATTATTTATTAGAACCTCCACCTATCTCTAGTGTGCAAGAGATTGTCCTTAAGAGATTGTATTAAATGAATCAGTCAATGAATTATCATTAACATGATACATGTAGTATGGTCTCATACACAAGCACACGCTGTTCACGATGAAACACTTGAGAATGAGTGCTTAGTATTTGTATGTACCTGATACAACCAACTGGTGTTATTACTACATTAAATCAAGTTAGCATTTAAAATAAACCACATTAATACACTTTTAAATGGAACTTGAGTAAACAGATATCATCAATTTAAAGTTTTTATTTGTTTACAGGTTTATCTGTTGGGTGAAAGTATGAGATGCCATGGTTTCTTTACTAAATAAATAATAATATCCCAATGTCATGAACTTAAACAGGGACATAATATAATTCATTCTTTTTAACACTTCAGTGATATTTGATTCAACCAGGAATCACTTAATAAATGTTTTCTAAGAACTGAACACACCTGAGAGGAAAATGTAGCCAGCTTTCAGTCAGTCAAATAAAAAACATTTTAAAGCAATTTCCTTTTTCTTTCTCATGGTTTTATTTTCATTGGTTATGGGGGGGGGGGGGTGCGATCAAACCTATCACACCGCCCCTGGTTACGCCTATGAAGTGTAACATCTTTTCAGAGACATTGACAAATATGCATATAGATAATGAAAGGAAAACTGTAAATAGAAAAGGAAAGGAAAGTAAAGTGAAAGGCCATACATGCATGTGTTCCCAGCATCAAGAAGGGGGAAGACAACAAGAGATCCATGAAAACCAATCTTATTCTGCAGTACTAAACATTTCCCATAAAAACTCACATCATTCAAGCCTCTGACAGATTGTCGCTGTTTTAGATTCGTCTCTCCGTCCAAATTTGCTGTCTCAGTTTTACATATCCCATAATCCTCCTTGGATCGCAAAATCAAGATGTCTGCGGGTATGACCTCATTACAGGATAAATGAACCAGATCACCAACTCTTATGTCTTTCCATCTTCTCTTGACATATTTGTTTTCTTCTCTGGAAATATTAAAAGAACATTGCTGAATGTTGGTACATCTTCTCTGTTGAAACCCTTTTCTAAACTTACACATATTTCCCTTTACAGTGCACACTTTCTACTACACTTTTAAGTGATTTATTAGGTCCTTAAATGAGAGCTTCATCTACTAATAGAGTATAATGAATGCTAACCTCTTGGCTTATGGGTATACTTTCTATATTGAAACTAAGAAGAAAACATTGATATGTTTCTTATTTAAGAATTCAGATGAGGTGTTTGTATCGATACAAAAGGTCATCACATATTGGTATTTATACTTATATAAAAATTACAAGTCCGAACAAAATGCGTTCGTTTTTTCTCGGCATTTGTTTTTTTGCTGTATCGGCGATCACTATTTTGAAGTTAAATGTATGTTTACCATGTAACTGTATTGTAATTGTTTTTTGCAATTGCTTTAACAGGTTTTTTCTTTGAAATAAAAAAAAAAAAAAAAAAAATAATAATCAGGTAAAATGCGTATTTGCGTGACATATTCTGTCATGTCAAAAAAACTGGCGTGACTTCCAATTTTCCAGCAAATGCGTGACAAATACCAAATTGCGGGACAGTAATGATGACCATTCTTATAGAAAATTAATACATTATTGTAAAAATCTTGAAATAAAGTGTGCACTTTGGGGATTTTTAGAAAATAGACACATTATAATATTTTGTTAAAAATATGAAGTAACATTTCTGACTTCCTTAAACCTTATCATGACACAAAAATTAGGTGTGTTGCACAGTGAGGGCGTCATCATACTCTTGACCCCTTTAAATATTTATCTAAATGATAAAGCACTTTAACATATTTAACATATAAAGGTCCATAGATTTAAATGAATGTAACTTTGAAAACACCATATCTGCATGTAATCAACATGTACTCAAAACTCATTTGATAAACGGATTGAAGGCTGAAATAGCAAAAATTGTTTGTTACCCATCCCCCATATGGGACCTTTTGGGTCTCAATTCAATTTTGAGAGTAGGTTTTTGGAGTTTTTCTAGATTTTATTTGAAAACTATATTTATCAGTCAGGGGCGTAGCCATCTTTCAGTCAGGGGGGAGTGATCGCCAAAAAATTTTGGTTTTCAGTAAAGGGCATAAACAAGCCAAAAAAATAAGATTTATTTTGAATTTTACAAAAATTGATGCAACTTCCTTCAAAATTGAGCTAGAAGCTTCAAATAAAAAGCATTTTAAAGCTCTTTTCTAATTCTTTTTCATGGTTTTGTTTTTATTGGTTATTGGGGGGGGCTATTGGTTATGTGCGATCGCACCCATCACACCTCCCTGGCTACACCTATGTTTAATATGGGTAGCTCTATCAGCACAAAACTGGTCTTCCTAGAGGCTCAGTAATAAATTAAAATTCCATCTTTTAAATGAAAAGGGATAAGAAGGGAGTCCAGAACTTTGATGTTAGGGACTCAATCAGAATCAACAAGATAATTCTTACTTTGAGAAGACCCTGCATGTCTGGTTGTTGACCTCCTGGTCTGATTTGTATCTTCTATAGTTCTCAAAGCCGTCCTTGATTGCCGTCACAGCCAGCACGCCAACTAGAGGAATAGGAGCAAGGAACTTGCCAAATGCTCCTACCTGAGGTACAAAGTTTAAGCAGATCACAAATAAAAAATAAATATTTGCAAATCTGTGGAATTGTTCAAAAAGATTCTTTGGTATGAAATTCAGAATTGTATATTTAGCAGTCCTTATTTGATTGGATAAATATGGCTGGTTCGTAGGATGGACAGCTGTGTCTGAGACATGGTTCGCTTCAACAATTCTAAATTGCTGTTTGTTTTCTACTGTGTTTCTCCAGGGTGGAACCCAGTCTATATTTACTCTTCCATTTAAGTTTCCCATCTTCGATATATTTCAGATATTTTTCTCTTTACTCCAATAATATTCCGATCCTTAGTTATCCACACGTAAAAATCCGCATACTATTCAACATTTGGCCTGGGTACATAAGTACCAATGTACATTGGTGTTATTAAGCCGTTGTAATATATGGCAATTGTCAAAACATGTTCAAGTTTTCTTGTGTACTTTGGTTAAGATTGAAGCTGTCCATTGAATTCTTAACAGATCAATAAAGTCAACAAATAATTCCAACATCAGGACATTGTTGCAGCTATGTGTAGTTAAACTGACTGCCTTTGTAGTTGTAATGGCATAAATTCTCCCAACTTGAATCAGGGTTCCAAACTCCAATGTGGTGCTACCTTGTGACCATAATCTGAAAATGTATGTGATAATATTAGATTTGCCTTTGCTGTCACAATAATGAATGGTTAATATAACTCGGAGTTACATATTAATGAATACCCTGCCAGCTGTTAAATGAAGCAAATTCAAATAAAGAGGGAAATGTGTAATAAAGTAATGATATAAACAAGAGAGAAAGCCCAAATGTATGATGTCCATTTTACAAGTTATTGGGAAATGTAAAATATACACTATTTTTCATTTGGGGGAGAAAATCATAAATCACTTAATCACTTAATACCATTAGTGGTATTTTAATATCAAGCAACATACACTGGCATGTAGCGATTTAAGCGATACTGGATACTTTACTGAATTGTGTCGAAGTTAGACGTGTGGTGCGGAAGTTAATATGCAGATGACCATCATTTCAATGTTATATTGTTTGTAGGCAAATTGAGATTAGGCCATTGGAGTATTTGTTTCACGCATACATAAAGCCTAACGCATTCAAGGGTCACATTTATCATTAAACCAATAACTCAAACATATGACCTTGTACACCGACCACCTCTTGAAATCAATGCAGGCCGATTTCAACGAATGCAAACGGTGATATATAAAATAAACATAATCAAGCATGACCACGTCCCAACTTCTTTTGTTTTCTTTACAACTAAGCTATGACTGCAGTCTATTCAGTGTTGCGTATCGAACCTTGTTTATTATAAAAATAGTGCAACAACAAGCTGAATTCACACATTTACCTTATACTTATTCTCAACTGAAGACATTGAATTTATCTCTTAGGTTTTACATTATAAATATCTTAACATGCAGAGTACGAAAATAGAGGCTTAGGCCCAACTTTGTATGGATTTTATGAAAATAATCTGATGTTAGAGAAATGAAAAGAAAAATGTCCACACCCTACACAAAAGATTTATGGTTCCCGGGAATACGTATGTGTTGCTAAATGTATATTAGAATCGTATGCCAGTTACAGAAAGAAGTACATAATATCATGCTAAACTATATATATATATTTATCGTCTATTATCCTTTGACAAGTAGAGTAGAGAATAAAAATAAAAAAATTCAAAAATTCAAAAAAGGAAATAAGATTAATTTTTTAGAAAACTACTTGGTATATGATAAAGCAGATATGTGCGGTCGGTTTGGATATGGGGTTTATCCCTCGTGAGATATGCACGTCTACCTTCGGTCCCTATGGTCCATCAGGTAGATATATCGTATTGGAGCGTATTGACATATTTTTTAGTTTCCCGTTTATTTTATTTATTTATTTTATTTTTCAAACAATGTGCATTTATTAATATAACGTTTGCATTATCCAAATGTAACATTCTAGAGTGATGTATTATGGAATAAATAGGTTATTTCTGGTCAGGATTGAATATGTTTTTGTTTTTTTTATTCCTCGGAAAATATGATATTGACCTTGGGCAATATGATATTGACACTCGGTCGCTGCGCTCTCGGTCAATATTATATTACCCTTCAGTCAATATCATATTGTCCCTCAGAATAAAACCCATATTCAATCCCTCCCAGTAAATAACCTATATTTATAACATACCTATGATGATGTATAGTGCAAAGTGTACACAAGACAGCGGGCCAATATACGTTTTAAAAAGCCTGCGCCCGCTAACTTTTTGATTGGTCAAGGCGCTGACGTCATAACCAATCAATCGAAGATAAAACTGCGCGAGCAATTTTTCTAAACTCGTTTCAATCATTTTCAAACCATTTGTTTGTCAATTCTATAAGAAAACGGTACTCTCTGACCAGTCTACATCATCATAGGTATGTTATAAATCGTTTATGTCACCATCGTGGCACATATGCCCTCGGTTCTCAGAGATCAATGTCCCTCCCAAGGTCGGGCCATATATCACTGAGACCTCGGGCATATATGCCACGATAGTGACATAACCTCTAAGTATTCCATACCTGATGAGGTTTCAGGGGCATATCAACCGGGAATATATTCCATATCCGGCAAACATTTTTCGTGTGTCCCACTCCGACGGAGCTCCGGGACATATAAATCGTATGTCCCGCTCAAAAAAATGTTAAAAATAAATTCGGAATTTGAAAAAAAAGTTTTGAAAAAAATTGAAAAAATTTTTTGAAAATATTCTGAAAAAAAAAGTATGCCCAAAAAAAATTTGGAAAAAAAAATCTGAAAATAAAAATTTGAAAAAATTATGGAAAAAATAATGTAAAAAAATTTTGAAAAAAACTTGAAAAATTTTTTTGAAAATATTCTGAAAAAAATTATGCAAAAAATGTGAAAAAAATCTAGAAAAAAAATTGTGGACAAAAAAGTTTTGGAAATTTTATTTTTCATTTTTGAAAAAAATTGAAAACAAATTTGGAAAATTTTGAACTTTTTGGGAAAATTATAACATATTTTGCAAGTAACACACCAGAGCATGTGGGAAACATACTTTAGATATCATATTCATTCGTGGATAAAAATCATATCTCTCATAAATCATAGGATATCCTCTATATCCCATGGTTGCAATGATATAGATCGAATATCACATGATGATATATTTGATATGTGACCAAGATATCATATTTTAGTAAACAATTTACAAACCATCGAATATCACTTTTAAACTATCGAATATCACGTCTTAGAAAGCGATATTCGATGGTTTCGAATTTTTTCAAAAAATGAATTTTGAATATTTGATGACGTAAATCAAGATAATTTCTACTCGCATCTTGTCTATTCCACAGGTTTGGGAAAAGTGTACAGGAAAATCTCCATGTTCAATTGATGTATGATCAATATACGAATCGAATTCTCGTGTGCATTACAATATCCACATTGAAACATTTTTGGCCTGCAATGGACGTATAATGGATTATAGAATATGAGGCCGTGTTATCATTCAAATGTAAAGTCATGGTATTGGGTTGCAAGTTAATATCAGATTCAATGCAAAGTAATCATTTAATATCAGATGCGCGATCAGTCCAATAATGTAATTTCAGGTCATCAGTTCGATATCTAGCAGTTGTTCTAACGACACGGTATTACTAGGCTATCGTGTTATAAATACACACACATATAAATAAATCAAACTGGTACACGATATAAGCACGACTGTTCTTTCAATTGAGTATAAATGTTGATAAACTTACCCGGAAGCCAACACATACACGTTAAGACGATGCTATTTTCAGTTCAGTGTAAGAGTAAATGCCCGGATATCGAAGCTTTTTCGTGTAAAGTTTTAACCAAGCATGTAGTATCGGGTTATATTGCGTGTAGAATTTATCGATATCAGGGCCGCTACATGCCAGTGAACATAGAACCCATTGAGTTATGTGTACACACTGCAAAGCCTAATATTGACTCTACATGTTGCTTACAATTTTAAATTTGGTCTAAAATCACAAGAGAGAATGATGAAAAACTGCATAAATTTGAAAGAATTTTTGGCCAGAACTCCCTGAACGCTAACTCCTTGAATCAAAACCCACTCTGGCTATATAGGCCTGGATCCTATTTTTACTTGATTTTAGACTGATTAAAATTGAAATAATTCTAAGTTGCTATATACATGAGGTACCTTAAAGAAATCATATGTATACTATTATAATTAGTATGCATTCAGAAAAAAAAAATATTCCAGGATGGCAGATTATGAATCTATCTGATTTGGCACATATCCCTTTTATTGATTTCCATTTTGTCATATGATTATTTTAGTCACATTTTTGATTCAGTGAAATTAATATTTAAAATTCATAAAATGATCCGACAAACCTTTAATAAATATGTTAATATATAAGTACAAAATATATTGTACACAAAATACATTTGAGAAAGCTTACATATCTAAATACCATAATCTCTCTAATAGATGCACATACTCCAATAAACATGCACCCTACTTTTCCAAGAAAGACTCTGGCAACTTAAATTACAAAAATCAAGAAAAAAATTTTAATTTTGAAAAAAATAATTGAGCAATAATAGGATTAACTCATCAATTTACTTACTGCTATCAATTACATGTAAGTCATTTCTGTGCACAATGTTGTTACAGACCTGTCTCTGCAAGCTTTCAAACAATAAGGACATTTGTGATAGCCTAAAGTGATGAGTTAAAAGCAATAAATTCTGACCACAATTTTAGGTTGCCATTAAAACACTCTTAGAGCATCATGGAGGTTCAGATCCAGAAATATTTCCCCATCTTTTTCCACAAAAACAAACATTTATTCCTTTTTAAATGTGAAGTAGTATTACATGAATATTTGATGGAGAAAATTCATGAAATACTCTGTTATCGCCCATATATTTAATTTTCAAAAATCCCAGGGATTTCATGATTAAATGAGAATTTGGGAGCTGCTGTATGCATTTATTAGAGAGAATATGGTATCAAAATATTATCTTACTCTCAAGCTTTGTACCAGGTTGTGATATATGCAGTTTTCATTATCACAAAATACAATTTATCAAACATGATTAGAAATAAAGATAAGACCGTTCAGTAAAAGTGACACTGGTCAATGACAGCATAGGCATCACACCCCTATAAACAATACAAATAGAACCATTAAATAGAAGAAAAGACCTTTTAAATGCTTTTTTATTTGAAGCTTTGAATTACTTCTCGCTCAATTTTAAAGGAAGTTACATCAAAGGACCACGAGTAGTTTGTAGAATGAATTTGGGGAACTTTTTCATGAATTTCGCTTGTGTTTTTAATCTAATAATCTAAAAAACATCAATACACTTTAAAACATTTTATTGACTACAAGATTGCACCATATAATCCTCAAAAATATTTCTCATTTTCAAGGATTATCTATGGATTAACACCCAGGTATTGTTATTTTTCAAACTTCAGAGGGCTGGGAATCATTATTATGATCGCTTTTGAATAAATATTAATGCTGTTTTAAATAGGTTTCATGTATGCCAATAATTTCTCAAATTGTGTAAATGGTACCCCTTCCTTAATCCGAAGAATA